GCAAATGGAAACCAACTGAGACCTCTGCAGTTATTTATTTGTTACTAAAGGATATAAGAACAAAGAAAAGCAAAGAAAAAGATTTTGCAATATATTACATATGTTATGGTCAGGGGACAGGGCCTGAAAGGAAGGCCTGTTACAGGATATATGGCAACCTAGATTAAGGGAATGTATAGGCAGGAGGCTTATCAGAGGGCAGGGAGACTACAGTGCCCACAGCAAACATCTTCTGAGAATAACTTACTGTGGATTCTGCTGACAGTTTTCCTGCAGATCTGTTCTGATTTGTAACCGTGCATTCCAGAAGCCTGGGAACTGTTGTGTCCAAGATCTCTTCCTTTAACATGCAAATCAACTATCCCTCTGGCCAGAGTTTTCCACTGAAATAAGCTAAAGCTGACTTCCACTCTCATCACTGTTTGTCACTGAATATGGAGAATACCATCTCAGTGTCAGCTCATACTTTCAGTTGTCACTCCAAGCTAATTAACCCAGATACCTCATGCCCTTGTATGGTCCATATTTATCCACTGAATGAAAACAACTATTCTATTGCCTTCTTTTCATGCAGTCATAATTACTTTTCCCAAAACAAAAACAGATCTCCAGTTTCAGGGTGAGGCGACAAGGACACATATGTGTCATAAATAAAGCTGTGAGTCTGTCTTATGCTCTCCATGTCCCTGGTCTTGCTCCAGTCTGTTCTGATCCTGTCCTGAGCTCTGAAACTTCAGGAAAGTTGACTTTCTGGGTTTCTCTGTTTCTCTTGAACATTCTAAAATACAGAATGATGTCTTTCATTTTAGAGCATGAGCCTCAAACCCAATAGGGGTTCACTCTCTCCAATTCAACCACAAGACTTCTGGGATTTTTGTTATTGTTCTCTCTCATTCTTTGACTGGAATGATGTTGGAACAACATCAGTTATGTTTTGACTTAGGTCTTATGAACAAAAACCCAATTACTCCAATGGAAGTTAACATATGAATGCTATCATGGTTCAATGACACTGAGAGGTCCTGAGGGTTCTTTAGGGCAGGGTTGACTACAGCAAGAAGAAAACCTTCACCTCCAAAATTCACCCATGTGCAAATAATACAAGGAGATCTATGTGGGGACTTAGAACTGCACTTTTGGTTAAAGATGTTCAGAATATGGACATAAACTCAGGCACAGAAGCAAACTCACATGGCAGGAAATAATGACACATCTGGTAACGAAAGCCCTGTAAGCAAAATTTGTATTTACCTGATTGGAGGACATGATTGACCATGAAAAACTGTAATCTAAATTTCAAAACACCATGGCTCCTGCTTACTCTTTCAACACTCCTTTGAACTAACAACACAGATATCAGCCTGTCAAAATCAGGATTCCCAGTGTCAGCATTACTTGAGAAAATGAGATCACAGGTCAGCAGGGGACACTGGTGCATCTGTCCTGAAAAGGCAGAGCTGTGGCATAGGCTAGGAAAGGACTTTGCTGGCTGTCATACACTTAGGCAAGAATGTCCTTTGTGCAGTGTGACTTTCCTGTGTCTGCACCTCTGAAAGTAGCACTAAGTCTTGGCTCTAACTCAAGCTCTTGTTTTCTGCTTTATTTTCCAACCTGTGGATTTGTCCAGTCCTGATGGCAGGCGTAGGTGGATGGATAATTGTGCCATCCAATCAAATTTCTTCAAAGAAACTTGACCTAGAATGTTCCCTGAGAATACAATAAGTAACATTTGGAAGTGGGAGGTTCTCA